TGATAATTTAAGTCCCTTGCTGAAGCAAGGCCAGTGCCTCCGAAGTACTTTTGAAATGACTCTAAGTAGGTAGCTTTCTTGCTATCTAGTAGGACACAATGTATCATAGGCTCATTCTTGCTTGCTTTCTTCTTCAGACCTTAATCTTCTGTTTCTTCAAGAAGGAATGGTTTCTTATAGTGGCAAATTGAATTTAAAGACGACAACATGAGCACTAGGGATGCAGTTGTTACTGGGTGGGATAGTATATTTAGGGCTTTCAGTGAATATAGCTAAGGAGTTATATATATTATATATATGAAATTAAAATTATATATAAATTATATATAGGCATGTACATGCATATGTGTACATGTATATATAGGCATGAGTAAATATTATGCATATAGAAAATATTTATTTAAAGATAAAATTCCCTATATAGTCATTCAGATATCCCCCTCCTTTTTGGTGGGGAGTGCTAGGGATTGAACTAGGGTCTCATACCTGCTAAATTTGTGTTCTACCACTCAGCCATACCCCAAGTCCTCCATAAATATTTTTGATTCAAATTCAGCATTACATGGTTTTTATCTGAAAAGTCCTTCTGTATTACATCTGTATATTTCTCTTCCATTGTAAAAATCTAGATTCTCAAGGACACAGAAGGTGGTAGAAATGGAATATCCCATAATTATTCAGTTACTTTATGCCATTAGAATTCAGTGCCTTGATGCCTCAGATTAACCATACTAGTACTACCACCACCATCACCATTGTTTGTTTATTTTTGGTACTGGATATTGAACCTAAAGTGCTTAAGCACTGAGATACATCTCCAGCCCCTTTTATTTTTTATTTTGAGACAGGGTTTCATTAAGTTGCGTAGAGCCTTGCTAATTGCCAAGAGTGGCCTTGAACTTGTGATCCTCTTGCCTCAGCCTCCTGAGACACTGGGATTGTGGGTGTGTGCCACTGTGCCCAGCAGTTAAATTAATTTTTGCATCTATTCTCCTTTTCCCTTCATTCTCTTTTTTAAAAATTTTTAAAAATATTTTTTAGTTATACATGGGCACAATATCTTTATTTTATTTATTTTTATGTGATTCTGAGGATTGAACCCAGTGCCTCACATGTGAGAGGCAAGTGCTCTACCACTGAGCCACAACCCCAACCCACTCCCCTCATTCTCTTAAAAAAAACAACATTCTTGTGTATTACAATGTACATCATAGTGGAATTCTTTACCATGTTTGTACTTGTACAAAGCATGGTTTGATCAGTCTAATTCCCCAGTACCTTCCTTTCCCCCTCGTTCTTTAATAGTTATACTATGAACTGTCAGGGTACACAAACAGTGTACCCCTCCTCTCCCCTTCCCTCCCCTCCCCTCCCCTTCCCTTTCTTCCTTCTTTCCTTCCTTCCTTCTATCCTTCCTTCCTCCCTCCCTCCTTCCTCCCTTCCTCCCTCCCCCTCTTTAGCAGTGCTGGAGATTGAACCCAGCACTGCTAGGCAAACACTCGACCACTGAACTACATCCCCGGTCCCACCCGCTTCTCTTTGTTTTGAGTCTTCATTTACTTTTTAGTTGTTCTTTACACTACATGTGTAGACTTTATAATCAGTCCTTACGTTGAAGACAAACTCTTTGTAGTTGTTTTGGTTGTCTGAAGCTATTTTAGAAGATTGTTTCAGAAGGACTCAAGATAATAATCTCTGAATTTTTCTATGTAAGAGTTTGTGGCTTTTATAAAATTTTGACTAAACAGAAATGTTTGTCAGATTTTCTTTCTTAGTATCATCAGTACATTCTTCCATTTTCATTTTTCTGGTATGTGCTTTACCACTGAGCTATATTCCCAGCCCTTTTTATTTTTTTATTTTGAAACAGGATCTTGCTAAGTTGCCAAGCCTGGCTTTGAACTTGGGATCCTCCTGACTCAGCCTCCCAAGTAGCTGGGATTACAGGGATGTACCACTACACCCCTAACCTTTTTTGTTCTCTCTGTGGTTAAAGACAGCTTTGTTTTTTTACTTATCTGATGTGTTTGGTCACACTTATAAAATTCCTTCTAATTTAGTCTTTATGTCTGAAGTGATTTTTTTTTCTTTAATTTCTCATCTTTTCCATGAGTCTTTTATCTCATTTCTGAAAATCTCCTTTCCAATTGTGCTATTTTATATTTCATATCATTTTCTTAGTGTCTTTTAGCTCATTTTGAAAAAGTAATATAGTTTTTAAAATCTGTTTTTCTGGTCTTCATTTCTTGTAGGAGTTGTTTTCTGCTCATTTTTCTTTTTTGTCTCCAAAGCTGTATATGTCATTTGAAGCTTAGTTGTTTATTTTTTTGTGAAATTAGTTTTTCTGAACATGTAGAAGTAGTCTTGGTTAAATATAATATTTCCAACTTCTTAGGGCTTCCTTTTCTGTTATTTTTAGTGTGGTAGTTAACAAACATGGAAACTTGATTTCTGAAATTTCCTTTGTTCCCCTTTGTTTTTCTTCCTTTGTCTCATACTTCTGTATAAATTTGATTCTCTTTACAGTAATTTCTCCTTGGTTTGGGCCGCTTTCCTGACTTCTTCAGTTTGTAAGTTTTAGATACAGACTAAACTGTTTATTCCCTTCTTTTTTGGGGGGGTTGAACTCAGGGACATTCAACCACTGAGCTATATCTTCAGTTCTATTTTATATTTTGTTTAGAGTCAGGGTCTCATTGAGTTGCTTAGTGCCTCATGGTTGCTGAGGCGGGCTTTGAACTTGCGATTCTCCTGCCTCAGCCTCCCAAGCGACTGGGATTACAGGCATGCACCACTGTGCCTAGCAGTTCATTCCCTTTTAAATCTTTTGTAGGTCTCTTCCATTCACGAATCCACCATTGGATCTGGCATTTTCAACTGCAGTGCTCAAATTGGTTCTCTGTTACTTCTCAGTGAATACCTGTTGGCTCTTTTGCATCCATCACATACTCTGTTGTTTGTCTCTGCTTCTGCTTTAACTGAAGTTGAAACCGCAGAGATCTTACAGATATCACTGGCTGGTTCCCATCCACTTAAATTTTGGAGATGACTAGACAGCACTTAGTTTTGCTGTAAATGTTCTTTCTTTCTAATTTGCTCTGTTTGAGGATATTTGTAGAGATTCCAGAGCTTCATAGAATCTTTTTGCTATTTAAAAAATGAGTTTGAGCAAAATAAATATATTTTGATGGCATATTAAATCATAGATGTGCTTGGGTTACTAGTTAGATAATGAATGACTAAAAATATTGTGGCTGGAAAAAATTTTACCTGAGGAAGGGTAATTGGTGTTAATAATGATATATCAATGCATTTAAATATTTGTTGAGTATATGTTCTAAGGGATAAAAAATTCTCCCAAATTAATAAAACAACTATGTCTTGAAGGAAATTAATGCTTCATGTTTACTCTCCACCAGTGTATGTGATTAAAAGCTAAATTTTATGTTAGTAAACCTGCAATTGTGGAATTCAGGGGCTGTTTTCAACTCACTTTAGGAATTTGCACTGCCTATTTATTCTGCCTGTTTCTGATTTTGACTTGCTGCTTATCTCTCTTTGGAAAGATCTTGAAGAAATTGTGTTACTTGTGAAGGGCTCCATCTTCATAAGAAATTAACTAAAAAGGCATATGATCTTCATAGTTCGCTCTTTTCTTATGTTGAGATTGAAAGTTTTTTCAGTCTATATTGTCATTTGATTTTAGCCCTCTCCTATGAAAAGGCATTTGGTGTTGAATTGGATTAGAATTTATTAGTTGGCTGTTAGTTGCCTTCTGTGCTACATGATTTATTTCCTAAAATTATCTCTTTTTCTAAATATTTATTTTTAAGTTATAGGTGGAAATCATATCTTTATTTTATTTTTTTATGTGGTGGTAAGGATCAAACTCAGTTCCTCACACATGCCAGGTGAGCACTCTAAGCCACAACCCCAACCCCTAATGTTATCTTTAAATAAGACTCTTTTTTTATTTGTGAGTAGTACCAAATTCTTTGCTTTTGTTCTTTATATTCTATAGATAAGCTTATTTTATTCTGTGAGATAGTTATTGAGCAGCATATTTAACATTTTGCCAAATAAAGCATGTGAAATATGTACTTGGACCAGTATTTTTTTTCTGCTATTTTTTCAGGCACTAAAGGTTGAAATGTAGGTGTACTGAGACCAATAGTAAATATATTTCCTTGTTTATAGATATACTAACAAAACAGCTTCCAGACTCAATTTTCAGAGTGATCAAAACTTATTTCTTTATGTGGGAAAAGAGAAGAAGCAACCAACCTATAGGTAGGGTTAGAAGTTACATAGTGACATTTTAGTAGAGACTTTGGGGACATTTTTCAAATGATTCTCATCAGCAAGATTATATCTGCTGGGCTGGGGTTATAGCTCAGTTAGTAGAGAGCTTGCCTAGTACACATGAGGCATTTGGGTGCCATCCTCAGCACTGCGTAAAAATAAAATAAAATAAAGGTATTGTGTCCATCTACAACAACAACAACAACAAAATTTAAAAAAACGGTCAAATAGGAAAAAAAAAAAGATTATATCTGCTGGTTCAGTTGATAGAGGTTTTAGAAAATTTTTGTTGAATAGGGCCTACAATTGAAATATTGGCTGAATTAGTGGGTGATTTAGCTTGTCAGATTTTTCTTTGAGTATACTTTTGTCTAAATATATTTATATATGTATTGAAGTATGACATTAAAATTATTTAGAATTTTTTTTTTTTTTTGCAGGAGAGGGGGGTGGGAGGGGCGGAGAGGTGGATACTGGGGACTTAACCCAGGGGCATCCTCAGCCTTTTTTTTCCTTTTTGTTTTTTTTGAGACAGGGTCTCATTAAGTTGCTTAGGGCCTTGCTAAGTTGCTGAGGCTGACCTTGAACTGGTGATCCTCCTCCTTAGCCTTCCGAGCCACTGGGATTACAGGCATGCACAATCATACCTGGCAGAAAATTAATTTTCTTTAAGGTATCTTTGTTTGATTTACTTTCAGGTTCATGCCTGGGAGATTTCTGATCAGTTGTTACAGATCCGGCAGGATGTGGAATCATGCTATTTTGCTGCACAGACCATGAAGATGAAGATTCAGACCTCATTTTATGAGCTCCCTACAGACTCTCATGCCTCCTTAAGGGACTCATTGCTAACCCATATCCAGAACTTGAAAGATTTATCACCTGTCATTGTAACGCAGGTAAATCCTGTGATTCTCATTAGGGAAATTTGTAAAGCCATTTGGATTGTCAAGTTTATTTTGATTATCATTGTTGAGCTGTGTGAGGTAATGTTAAATTTATTATAGGGGGTCTTGGTATAGTCTTATAAAAATGACAGTTTTAATCTTTTGCATTAGTCTTATAGTTCATTGGGTTTCAAACTTTTAAATACTAGAAGTGGGGAAGGAGAATGTATTTTCACAGACATTCGTGTGCTACATGCTGTTAAAAATTTGCAGATGATTAAAAAAAGAAAAACAAAACTCTGTACTATGCTGGGTCTGAGATCTACAGGGTTATTACCTTTTTAAAAGATCCTTTCTGGGCTGGTTGGCTAGTAAAAGTCTCTCATGAATAAAATGAGCATTTGGTCTTCCCCCCCGTCCTTTAAACAGGGAAATATATTAGAAAGAAAAACTGAAAGCTTCTGTAAATACATGCTCCCAAGTTTTCTCTGCCTGGTGTAAAAGGAGATTTTTTGCCTAAGGCCTCAAGATGAGAAATGGAAAGAGAAGGGAAATGGCAATCTATTACTTGAGGACTCAGTCAAATGTCTGACTTTTGTCAGTAGCTTTGGTCTTTTGGGAAAGTGTAATTTATTTGTCTATGAAGTTCTGTGGTATTGCCAAATAAAAGTAAGTATTAATATATTGTAAGGAAAAAAATCTATAGCTTATATTTTTTACTTTTGTTGTTTTTGTGTAGTCTTATTTTTAATTTTAAACTTTATTTATTACGGTGCTGGGGATTTAACCCAGAACCACATGCTTGGCAAGCATTGTACCTCAGAGCCACAACTCCAGCTCATGTTATTAACTTTTAAAGGCTAATCTTTAATTTCAGGAATTTTCAGCTAGGCTGGAGAAGCAAATATACTTACACACACACACACACACACACACGTACATATATGCATTATATTATATACGTATGTGTGTATGTGTGTGTTTTTTTTTTTTGTTTGGGATGGGGAAGAAGGAAGGTGTCAGTCTTGTCATATTGTCTGGAAGAAAAAATTCAGTCATTGTTTTCCAGTTAACATTAATGGTAACCCTGTTTCTATTTGTTGTTTTTAATCTCTTCTTTAGCTGGCTTTAGCAATAGCAGATCTCGCTCTACAGATGCCTTCTTGGAAGGGTTGTGTACAAACATTGGTGGAAAAGTAAGTAATTTGTATTGACAGCATATTAGCATTAGGAATTATCATTAAGCTACACAGAGAAATTTGTTACTAGTAGGTAGAAATTTGATTATTTTCCTGAACTGTTACCATAGTTATATATTATTAATCTTTGTTAAATTGAAGAAAGTCATTTAAAATTTAATTACTACAGAAATAGATCATGTGGGATATAAAAGACCCTCATAATTTATATACATACCCTTTCTCTTTTTCTCCTTGAATCCACTGTAGCACATTCTTTCATTGCATTGTGGATTACTCCCAGTAATGGACTTATTAGCAGATTTGTAAAACTAGTTCAGTATTTATAGATTGTATTAAATTGAAGGTTGCTTTGAATATATATTGTTACTAATTGAGGTTTGTTTCATGTCTGTCAAGAGAGGCCATATTATTTTTAGATATGGAGCCTACTACTTTGGTGTTTTTTTTTTTTTGGTACTAGGGATTGAACTCAGGGGTGCTTGAGCCACATCCCCAACCCTTTTTATTTTGTGAGACAGGGTCTTGCTAAGTTGCTTAGGGCCTCACTAAGCCTGCTATTTTGGATAAAACATTTCCTTATGTGCCCTGTCAAGATAATCTTTTTTTGGCAAGGATCAAACCTATTCCTTGCACATGCTAGGCAATCACTCTTTACACTGAGCTATATCCTCAGACACAATCTTGATATTTTCTTGCATTTGATTAGGGAATTATTTCTGAACAAAGTGTATAACCTTTTTTACCTTCAAAGAGAGTGCATCATGAAAGCCCTTACATGGATAATTTATTTTTTTAGGAAATTTTTTATAATGTGAAATAACATATGCTCCTTGAAAAAATTTATAACAGTATAGAAATTTTCAGAGCACAAATAAATCCTGTCCTATGTTTTATATAACCACAGTTAATGATTTATCATATAGCCCTTGGCATTTTAAAACAAATAAGTATGTATATATTTTAATATGGTCCTGTGTATTTGCTCAGCCATATTTACTATGTTTCATATGCTTTATTTGCTTAATACATGTGATCATCTTTTCATAAATGTATGTCACTTTCTTTGTTAATTGCTGAGTATGTTCTATTGTATGATTGTTAGTAATCCTTTTTATTCTATCTAATTTTGAAGGACATTTGTATACCCCCCTTTTTTGCAATTATAAACATGCTGTAGTACACATCTTTACATATTTATCTTTGCCTGTGTATGTGAAGATTTTCGTGAAACATAAATCACCAAAAGTGAATATGGAGAGTCAAAGATTATACAGCTTGAAATTTAAAAAAAAAATTTTTTTTTTAGGTTATTTTTTTAGGTGGACACAATATCTTTATTTTTATGTGGTGCTGAGGATCGAACCCATGGCCTCACTCATGCCAGGCGAGCGCACTACCACTTGAGCCTCATCCCCAACTGTACAGCTTGAAATTTTGATTGCAAGGTCTTTCTAGATAACCTTTCCAAAAGATAGTATCTTTTCTTTTTCCCTTAACAGTAACAGGAGTGCTGCTTTTCTTGTATGGTATGTTCTGATGGCTGTTATCTTTTGTGATTATATATATTCTGTCTTTCAATAACTTGTGATAAATCTTCCCCCTTTTCTTTTCCAGATATAGCAATGATGTAACTTCTCTGCCATTTTTGCTGGAGATTCTTACGGTGTTACCTGAAGAAGTACATAGTCGTTCTTTACGAATTGGAGCTAACAGACGCACAGAAATTATAGAAGATTTGGCCTTCTACTCCAGTACAGTAGTATCTCTGTTGGTGAGTAAGTTTGGAATACCCAATTGCTGCTGAGGGACAGAAAACTGTAGTGGTTATTTTGGGATCCAATTGTACTTATTTATTTATTTTGAATTTTTTTTTTCTTTTGAAAATCTGGCAGTAATATTACTTTGGCATTTATATAATACTTTCTAATTACAAAATACTTTCAGAAACCATACTTCTTGTAGGACATGATGGTGCATGCCTATAATCCCAGTGACTGGGTGGCTGAGGCTGGAAGATTTCAAGTTCGAGGCCAGCTTCAGCAATTTAGTGAGTCTGAGCAACTTAGCTAGACCTTTTCTCAACATAAAAAAATTTAAAAAGGACTGGGTATGTGGCTCAGTGGTTGTTTCCCTGGGTTCAATCCCTAGTATCAAAACAAACAAACAAACAAAAAGAAACTACCTTTTGAGTTTATACATAATCCTGTGAGGATGATGATTCTGTGAATGAGAATTAACTTTAGAGTAATGCAATTGTTAATCAGAATTTGAATTCAGGCCTTCTGATTGTGTATCCCACATTCTGTAAGCTATGGGAGCTTTTGAGAAGGGACCATGCTTGG